CTTAGAGACCTGACTATTTGGAGCGGATTCGTCGATTATTCTCGAATTTATAGCGCTTCGCGTGAAGGTGCATGGATATGGTCCGCTTGTTTTGTAGCCAGCCTTTAATTCTTCTTTAGTGGATAGTACCTACAATTGCAAAACTCAACAAAATGCCACTTTAACCGGCCAGGAAAGACAAGGATACGTTCAGTTAAAGGTATCTTAGCTTTGCTTTGTTATATTTTGATTTTTGGACTATTTTAGTTCATTGGAGTTTCGACGACTCATCGCATTAATTTGTCCATGTGAATATTAATATATTCATTCAGTGACACATACTACGTCTGGGCCGCCTGTGTCGTGATTGGACATTTACTACTTAAACGATGTAATATCTCTACTTCTATGTCATGAATGTGGAAACAAAACTTTAATCACCTGTCTGTGAATTATTGTTGTGTAATTTGGGCTTAATTCGTCGCCATTTTATACAATTTTGTGGTTCAGTGTGTCGGTTCTTCGGTGTTGTTGACCTACGCGAACCTCGAATGAAAACTCACCATGCAATTCCATAAGGCCCAATAAATGCCCCACTGCACCACAAGTCACGGTGTTTTCAAAGCCGTTTTAAATCATTTCTTTGCGCTGCGTTTTGGGCGATCCTCTTATGCGTCCCGGGAAAAGTGCTGCTGGCCTCTCAGAGCCCCTACATCATTATAGTCTTCTGTTGCCAATTATCTTCAATCATCTTCGTCACTTTTGGGAAAATGTTATTTTCACGATCCCAATTTAGTCACTTTTTATTCATGTTTCTACCTTATTATTCCTTTAAATAGGTCATCCTAAAATGAATTGACACATTTTTTAAATTAAATGAAGAACACTTTACTTTTCCCCTACAGTGCAAACATCGTGGTACGTTTGCTAACCGTAAATATGAAGAACTCAGAGGCGGATCCAGGATTTTTCTTAGGAGGGGGTGCACCACTAACTGACTGATGACGTAAAAAATTTTAAAAGCGAATACGAAAAAGAGGGCTTTTGACTAGGAAATAACATAATGTGAACTGCTGAGAATACATAAAAAATTTTAAAAACAAAAACGAAAAAGGGGGCTTTTGACAAGGAAAAAAAAAAATGTGAACTGGTGAAAATACATTTTTAACGATACAGCACATTTTGTATGGCTGTGAAGCGACTGCACAGTGTTAATCAGAAGGCCGCAGGGCAGGGGGGGGGGGGGGGTGCGCACCCCCTGCACCCTCCCCCTAGATCCGCCCCTGGAACTTTCCCACCCCAAAACTCCGAAAATGTGCGACTCCATTCTAGAAACTCTATTGAAACTCTATTGAAAAGCTACCCCATTTTAGTAAAATCCAACTAGTGGTCCATTATCAGTGCTGCGTTCTGATTGGTTGAGCTACTACTAGGCAATATGTTATAGCCCACTAGAATCGAAAGCGCCGGCTTTTTGGCGGCAAAAAAAGGATTAAAGTCTAGCTTTAACCAGCTAAAGTTGTTTTGTCTGGACATTTTGACCAGCTAGTTGGATTTTACTTCGACCTCATGGGCTATTGACCCAGAGCCCATTCGGGATCGAGGAATAATTGTTAAATAGTCAATTCAGTCGTGAAAATGCGACCCCATCCAGCGGCACATCCCCTTTAGCCTCTTATGAGGAAGTACCCCACCGGGTTATGCGCTCGGTGTCTTCTTTCCCACAGGAGTCCTTCTTCCCTTTTTGTTTGGGAGACGAGGAGAAAACGACGCCTCGTACATTTACTTTACGAGTCGTCTGCTCGTCGAAAAACAAAAGACCCTTCGGAGCCAGGCTGCACCGATTGGTCAAGCAACAGATCTGACTTCCGACGCTTTTAGAAAGATTTTGTCACCTTTGTCTCTTCATGACAGGAACCACGAGAGGTTCGAGGAATTCTTTAAACAGCAAGCTTAGGTTTTAAAGCTAGGTCCTAATAGACTGCAAACAGTCTCTTATTTTTCTTTGTAAAGTTACTGCACGCGAAACCCAAGCACGCCAAGCCGCAATAAACGAGGGCGTAACCCTTATTGTAACATAACGTTGTGGTTTGCAATCGCGCTGGCTGAGAAAAGAACTAGACGGATTTTAAGAGAAAAGGCGGACTGCAAGCAGTCATGAGCAGTTCATGAGCTCATACATTCTTTGTCAATTTTGGGGTTTTTCTCTAGAACTATTCGGTGTATCGGGCTCAAATTTTCAGAGATAACTGAAACTGGTATGCTCTTTCAATAATAGAAATTTTATTTTATTAGCTTCATCAAATAACGATAAGCATATGTTAATGAGGCAAAAAAAAAAGCATTACAGGTGTGAAAAAGGATTCACCTATAACCTAAGAAATAGCTATTTGCTAAGTTAAAACGGGACTGGGTGTAAATCAGTTTTTAAAGGCCACAATAAGGTACTGGAAAAATTTGTAATACGCGGCGAACTATACAACAGGCGAAAAATCATAAACTCACCAACTTTACGCAAAATAACTACAACTTCCATCAAACTTTATTCGAAATACTAGCTGAATACCTGTCGGTAACTCTCTTCTTAAAGTTTAAAAGAACTAGATAGGTCATGAACGGCAAATTTTATCCTTCTCTTTTAGTTTGGTTTCGGCGCGTTGATGATACTTTCACTGTTTAACGTCACTGTGCTAAAGGTTCTTGCAGCATTTGAATAATAATAATAATTTACATTTATATAGCGCAAACCTCCATATGAATATATTCGGTTGTGCTTTACAATATTGTTATATTAAATTTATATTAAAGGTGACTAAAGCATAAGAAACTATTAAAAACTACAATAAAAAGTATTAAAAACTATAAATAAAAATAAATAAATAAATAAATAATAATAATAATAAAAACCCTATTACAAAAGCCATTTACAATTAAATCTATTTAAAAGCTAAAGTGAAAAAATGAGTTTTAACAGCAGTCTTAAAAGTGTCCAAATAGCCATAACAGTATCAATTTCACCACCAGTGAATTAAAAACGGGACAACGAAATTCCATTCTTTGACATCCTGTAAAACACGGCCCTCTATCGCTTTTAGTTTTTTTAAAAAATTAATTTCAGGCTACACTCCTTGACCAGCTTCTTTACCAAGCCACATTTCATTTCCCAAGTTCCATGTTGGGTTACCTTTGCAGGGCTTGGGTTCATATCGCCACTCAGGATTAAATACACGGTGATCAAACTTTGTGTTGTTACAAAATCTTGCAAAAACAGGAATAGCTGAAACGTCTTTACTGCTGTCATTAGCCCTCAGCCCGAGATAATACATGGTCTTACCGTATGCTCCATGCGCGCCCAAATGGGAGTCACAAACATTCGAGATGCTACTAAATCGAGCAACAAATGACGCTGGAGGCGCATGATGTAACCTAGTATCGTGGAAGTATGTTTTGTGTAGAATATTGCTCAGCCACAACATGACTTGTTGGTCCGCATGTGGATGACACAACATCGAGCTTTGGTTCTGCGCCAAGAACTTTTGAATGATATCTTCAGAGAATATCATAAATGCTTCATCCAGCCATGTGATTCCTGCTTGACAGTGGAAAAATCCCCAGACTAGATTTTGTTTCGGCCTCAATGGAAGCTCAGAAAGAAGCCTTTTTAAACACAGGAAGTAGTCATCATCGATTCTAAGTAGGTACTGAAAGTTAAATTTCGCCGCTGCCCATTTGATTTGGTTAAGGAAGCGGAATCCAAACTGCCCACGGCCTCCTTTGAGAAGCTGAAGCTTAATATCCTTGTATTCATCCTTTTCGTTTAAAATAAGGTTACGTTGAGTTCGGTTTGTTATGAGTCCATCAGTCATGAAGACACATTCAACCTGAAGAAAGAGAAATTCAAGTTATGCCCACTAGGTTAGAACTGCCCCTTATCTCCCGGCTGTCGTGTGAGCCATCTTCAGGGCCTTTCTCATGTATATCTTGGATGGAACCCTCCCAGAGTCCAAGAGAAAAGCCCTGGGACTCCAGCCTAGTCCCTAGGCGTCCTATCTTGCCCGTTGTCCGCGCGAAGTCTGGGAAAGAACGAGAGAGTCTCTCTCGGTGACGTCACAGTTCACGGTAGAGTCCAAGACCCAGTTGGTCGAAAGCCGATTAGCGCTAACTCAGGATTAAAGTTTAATCTTGGCTTCTTATTCGTTTGCTCAAAAGCATTTTCCCGGACAATTTTCACTATTCTTGATAGAGCATCAATTCATTACATTGCAGGCAAAAAGAAATAAACTGAATTTGCTTTTTAAGTTTTCATATCTGAATTTATACTTCGCACTAACCCTGAGTTATCTTAACCCTGCTTTGAACAACCCCAACCTCGTCCCCAGGGAGCTTTTTCCCTGGCTTTGGGGTTGGGGCGGGAAAAGGCCCTGGCATCGACTAGTCACCCAGAATTTGTGGGTGTACTAAATTAGCATACGATCGTATACGATAAATAAAACATTGAAGATGGCGTTAGACCAGAGTCTTTATCAGTGCTTCGCCGGGTCGGATTTTCCCTGAAACGGTAACTTTCCATCACTTAATTTTAAACCTCTTCAAGTAAAGTGTTTCGAGTGTATCCTGAAAGGCTAGGATGTTATTGGAGTCTTCCCAACTGGATCTGGCAAGTCGATGCTATTTCACGGCTGTACCGTTCTCGCCACGATAAAGAACAACTAAAGTTACTCTAATTGTACAAGCAACTAAGCACAAAGCCAACCCGACAACTAATGAGGTTCGCGTGGCGAACCAAAACCATGGTCTTGCCTGATCACAAAGTGGCAATAACAAATTAAAACAATCCAAATTTGGACTTGTAAATCACTATCCGTATAATTTAACATCCTGGAAAGCTTATAAGAAAACTAACAAACTGGGACCAGCGTGATACAACATTACATTCACGGACTAAAGAAAATCGCTTAGTTATTCAGCTCCAAAAGGCACTTTGGAGAAAATTAGAACCCTTATTCAACCGTAATAAAAAGCTTTACGCTTGAAAAGAGGTCAAAGAAACTGCTCTTGCATCAGAGGGAATCCTGCCCACCAGAAACAAAAACCACGGTAAATCGAAGTGTGTGCCATGACCACTAAGTGTGAAACAAGCGGCTAAAATCACATTTGCTCAGTGAAAATGTAAAACCTTCTAGAGCATAATCTACCAGCAGACAAAAATAACTTATGATAACAAGCATCATTTTGGCATTAAGTAAAAGTCGTGTTGGCCTATCACCCCTTTTATTGCGGTTCATTCACATCGAAGCTTTCGAGTGACATATCCTTTGATGGACGCTTCGACGGCTGATACGAAGACGGTAAAAGTTCAACGCATCGCTTTACAGAATATTCTGAGCTTAGACCAGGCGTTATGTCTACAGATTTCATTGAGTCTTCCGAAAAAACTAGTCCATCTTGTCTACGACTGTAACCCCACTCCTACATAACACTGCTGACCTCGTATTGTCCTCAGAAATTCTTATACGACAGGTTTTATAAACTTTTGAATACAGATCTTTAGATAAGCCGGCCTTGCTGAATATTCAAAGTATGTAGCGACTCTCATGAGAACCACCACTGGATTTCTCGCAAAAATCTTCGTTGTAGTGGACGTACTTTCCGCCATTTCGATCTCGGTGTAATGCATAAATTATTTTCATTTTGCCATTTTCTTACATGAATTACCTAAATCAATCAACCAATCAAAATGACGGATTGGCCGGCCGATGCCCGGGCCTTTTTCCGCCCCACCTCTAGACTGCGAGCAGTCCCTCTTCAGTCAGTCAAGTCTAAGCTTGCCAGGACTGGAGAGAGCGAATTGGCCGAGCTTCCCCTCGGCTTTCGCTCGCTTCGCTCGATTTTCTCGCTCGCACTTTCCTCGCTCGCGTGACCATCCTAAGGGACTGCTCGCAATCTACCCCACCTCCAAAGCCAGGGAAAAGCGCTCTGGGGACGAGGTTGGAACAACAACCCGGCCCAGGATTGACCGAGCCGAGAACGCCAAGGGGCTATGCCGGGGCCCGTTTCTCGAAAGTCCCGGTAACTTTGCGGGCCCGAAATCAAATATTCAAATTATATACTGACAGTTTTATCATATTATTTGTAAACCTACTGAAACTTCGCGCTTTAATGTAAACGACAACAGCTTTTCAGGCCCGTTAATAGACCTCTTCAGCTTGTGTGTTTTGGTTTCCTAATAGTGGTCACCGGGAAACTTGACCCTTTGTCTTTTCATAAATAGAAGTTTAATAAGTTTAAACTTAAACTTTTTAAACTTATGCGTACATAAGGACGAGAATAAGACGAAATTTAAAAGAAACAGTTCTCTAGAGTATTACTAGTAATAGTTGACACTGCGCGTGCCCCTTGATCTGGATGTTGTCAGTCAATAGTTATCTTGCTCGTTGAGTAGCTCTTTGAAATATACTATACCAAGAGAGAGCTCATTCTCTCTTGACTATACCGATTCAAAATGAAGATTTTCACACATATACCATTAGCCTGTTCCAGAAAGGCACGCGAAAAGTTGGCGGAGCGGGAAAAAGAAAAAGGAAGGGATAGCCCCTCCTCTCCCAGTTTCCTCCCGTTTTATTTTCATGTTCACGCTCCCTCAGTTCAGTGGACCCGACTATCTCGGAGCCTGAAACAGGCTAATGTTCCATAAAATACGTGAGATAAAAACAGGAAACGAAAATGGTGGAACAAAACGTTTTCAGGAGAAGCAGATCCGCGACATTAAGAGTGAATGTCAGTAAAAATCAAACAAAAATCTAAAATTCGTGGCCACAGTCAAAAAATTGATTCGGCTCATTTTTCGTCCAGGGAAAGGCTAATGTACTACCTTCAGTAAAATGGAACTAGTTTTTTGAAATATGCTTTTCTTTTGAAATAAACCGTTAACAATAATTTTGCCGTATTTGCCTACGCGCCAGCTCAAAATTTCACTATGTTCAAAACAGTCGTGTTCGATCTTAACCATAGCAGCCAGTCTTCTTTTACCATAACTATTCAGTAGGGGCATTGTTTTATTAAAACATATGGATAGTTTTCCTCTCGGGTTATTTCTGTAAGAAATAAACTCGAAATTTGAAGAAAACATTACAGCCCTTCAAGGACATGCAAAAGTAGGGTTAAATCATCGCGATGGAAAGTTATGTGTTAGTGCCTGAAAATCGTTGAGATTGCTACCATAAATTCCTGAAATACAGTCCTTAAAAGTTACAGTTTTGTTTTTCTGGGATCTTGTAAAGGTTTTGAGCGAGCCCCGTCTAAATTTCCATAAAATTGCAATCTGACCTAAAATTTAGGTCACAAACAACAAGGCATCACGCGATAGATTCGAGATAGATAAATGACAATTTTGGCTCATTTATGTAGTGATTTGTTGTCATTGTGTTGCTTAAACGATACAGGTAAGCTAAAATAGTGTGTTTTTCAAAGCGTTGCTTTCATTCTGGACCATAACTGTAAAATAAGGAATCGACTGCGTGAGTCACACTCGCTTCGTCTAATTAGTCTCAGTATTTATTCATACCCACGCAGGCACTTACGTCAACGCGACTTCAAAATCCAGTAAGTTCTTGCGTTCTGTGCAGAGTGAAAGAAATTGGTGGCAGTTTGATAATAGCATAAAAATGCACTCTTTCTATTTCTAAAGTCGAGGCTGGTGCCGATCAACTCGAACGAGGGTCTCGATACTTTAACATACCCTGGACAACCCAACGAAACCCCGGCGCATTTAAAATTTTTAAATTGTCTCCATCTGCCCCATGGGCAGATAAGCAACTCTTCCTAATTTCCAAAATTTCCGGTCCAGATTTTTTTTTCTGGACGTTTGTTCGGGGAAAGTATGGTAATGCAAATCACAGGTATCATGTGTAGCCTTGTTCAGCCGGGCTATTTAGTCATGCAGTTGAAATAAAAAGTGAAAAATTGGGTATTCATGCAAACACTGAATACCAGCCTTTCCACTTCACTGGCTAGCACTCATTTCTGGTGAATGGTAACCAGAGACTTTCAGGTGCATGTCCTGCTTCCTTTTTCTTGTTTGGGGATGGGCGATTGATTCCAGAGCTGGTATTTTGCGGGAATATATATATACTTTTTTGCTATTCGCGATTTTGCTTACTGGGAATTAATGTTCGCGTTTGTAGAAAGTTCAACAACTTGTAAATGTGATTTAGTAATCAAAATACATATACTGTGCCGCAATCATTGCAATCAATATATAGTTTCGACTGTGAAGTAATTTTATTAATATTATTAATATTAAAATTTAGCCCTTTTTTTAAACTGGAGCGCTTTTGTACATTGTAAAATAAAATAACAATGGTGTCCCACCGAATCTGGCATACATTCCACCTTGTTTTCAACATGTTCAACATGACGACGACGATGATGATGATAATGATGATGAAAATGGTTTTGTAATGATGATGATGATGATGATAGTGATAATGGTGAAGATGTTGATGTGATGATAATAAAGATGGTACTGATGATGATGATGCTTCTGCTGCTGTTGCCGCTCATGATTATGATCAGATGATGATAATGATCGTTTCCCAAAAATTCAGTTCCCTTGTTTTGAAGCCTTAAAATAATCCTAAGTACTGCAAAGATCTTTCTAAAACTATATGTTTTGAGTTTTATGCAGAAAAAAGCTAAAAAGCACATTCTCAGATCTTTTGCTAGAAACTGCAAATAAATCTGTACGTTTTTCCGCGAAAGCGTTCCTCGTGAGAGGCACGGCCATTGAAAGGAACGGTTGTTCCTATACTGTATGAAGAAATGTTAGCCTTAAATTTATATCAGCAAACAAGTGTTTACCCGGGGCGATCTTACTTCATAATACTGGTTGTATCGTTCATTGAGAATTTTGAGGTTAAATCAAAACAAACGCATACGTCACTCTCCTGTTTCTAAAACACATTGAGTGAAATAGAGAAAAAAATCAAATAAATCCGCCAAATCCGGAAAACCTTCCACCGGAATAAAATTATAATTGACATTGACGGACACCAGCGTTGTATTCCATAAGAGTGGACAATACGGATTTCTTGGACTTAAAGGAAATAAGAATTTTAATTAAAGTATCAAAGAAGAAACTCTACTTTTGGGCTGAATACAACGGATTTCACGGAAAAGGCGGATAAGATATATAATAACAATCATAATAAAAATAATAATTATTATTATTATTTTATTATTATTTTAATAATAATAATTATTATTATTATTATTATTGATATTATTGTTTTTATTTCTTTTTGAGGGTAAAACTAGCAGTTCATGTGGATTTCAGTAGCTGGAATTCAGCACAAAGAAGGTTTTTCTGTCATAGGATTTTGCAGATTTCACGGATTTCACGGAAACGGGATCAAGTCGCTAATTTATCTCAAATAGTCTTCAGTAATAATTGTCAATTATCACATTTTGGATTACGTAATAACCCTGTGTGACTAAGGTTGGGCGATGGATAAGGGTGTCAGAATTAATTTGTCTACTGGGAAAATTTCATTGATATAATTATTCACAGTAAAGTGACATGCTTTCGCTTCACGAGCGAGCAAAGAGCAAATTTTCCTTGTCGCCAACTGAACAGTGAGAATATTAAAGGAGCTGCTTTGTGCTATTTAAGTCCAATAGTTGTGGACAAATGTAGTGTAGAGAGTTGTAAGTGTACATGCAATATCGATGAAGACCCACAGAGAGGATGGAACGAGGTGTGCAGGACGCGAGACGCTTGCGACAAGGCGTTGCAAGGGTTGTATTCAAAATGAATTAAAATGTCAATTATGAATCCTTATTACGAATCGATCGGTTGAATAAGCAAACCTGATTTCGATATCATTTTTTGCAGGAGTACAAAGTGTGGCCTTTTTCTTTAGTGCTATCGGCACAGAAGGGCCAAAGAAAGCGACGAAGAAAAATCAAAAAAACCTAGAGGATAACGGAAAGGAAAGCGATAGCGAGCATTTCACAAGTCAAGTGTCAAGTTCTTCAAGCCAAAGCTGGATTTCTAGCCACCCAGCTTTGGTGAACAAAAAGCCTCTTCCCGCCATAAATTATTGGATTGCGCTGAGTACACCTAATGGAACCCCAGCAAATCCCATCACAATTCACCGCGCCTTACTTGAATGTGGCGTTCATGCAGTCGCAAACACGGTACGTTTTCCCTTCGTGCATCATAAATTAATCGTTTTTACAAACGTGCGGATCTTTTAAAAAAGAGAACAACAACTTTATTTTATTTCCAAATCAGAGTTTTTATAGCATTCGTCCTAGAGTTTTGTTGTACAAACATTTAAGGTAAAACAACATTTAATAAGCTTTTTTAAGGGTTTCTGTTTTCCTCACAAGTTGGTGATTACAGGAGTTTTACAGGGAATACTTCTAGGATTGTTTATTTGTAGGATTTTATTTAAGTATAATTGTATCCCTGCTGGATGCAAAATATGTCTAGCCCCGCCCTAGTCTAAACTATTACTAACAATCTGCAGAATAGTTAACATACTGTCTTTTTACGGTTAGTCTTTGCAGTATACATCAAGGTAAATTTTTCACAAGATTCTGAATGAAATTATTTTCTCATGCCTGGCTCTTCATCATGTCAAAGTATTTTCTTATAGCAAAATAAAGCGTTGTATAGCCTCAACTTTGTTTTTTATTTTATTTTATTTCACTCAAGCAAACTTTCTATTTCTCTTTTTCAAAATAAGGCTCCCTGTCGACAAGGCAAAGAATCTCTTGCGATGAAGCAACTATTCAAAGTATTAAAGGACCACAACGACAAGTTTATGCAGGACCTAGTAACATCTTCCTACCAGCAGTGTTTTCTGACTGTGGCGGAGGGGTTTTTGAGCGATTCTGAATCAATGGATGTGGAGGAATGTGGAACGGAAAACGTAGTCAGCGTTCGTGTCATCCAATCCTCGTTTAAGTCTATTGTTTCTGAAGAAATAGACAAAATGATGGGTGCGAAGTTAGTGATTGATCGTTATGGCTTGGATGGTAACAGCCAAGAATCCCAAGAAGAAAGAACAAGTGACAGCATGGAACCACGGCTAGGTGACAAGCTTAACGTCCTCATAAATGATATCTCGATTGCAATGAGGAGGCTGGAATACGCCCTTTACAGGGGCACTGTTTATAAATAGTGTGAAGGTGCCACTTACAGCTACTCCTACAAATGTGATGTGAAGGCGTTTGTGAACAGTCTAGCTGCAAATGAGTCATTCAAGACAAGACTGCTGAGGGACATGAAAAAAGTTATCGATATCCTGGCTGACCCTGATTGTGAAGTAATTCGTCCCATTATTGTCGACTACAACCTCATAGAGGTGAACGAAGAGAAATGTTGGTCTGTCTCGGAAAGACGGTCCTTGAACAACGCAATTCCAGCAGAGGAAATGGGCCTTGTGACTCCCAGGGCTTTCTCGCGTTATGATCCCTCCAAAGTCCCTCAGCCTAAATACTTCCAAGACGCTTTGAAAAACAGCCTGATAGAAAACGCGATTGGTTTGTCTTGCGAAGATTTCTTGAGGCTGCTGAATTTCAACCAAAAGAAGCACAAAGAGAGAGTGCCATGCCTTGTCGGTGAGCCCGACAGCGGAACGACAAGCCTGTTTTACCCAATACTGGGGCTGATTCACCACAGCAACGTAGCAACTGTAACCCAGCAAAAAGTGTTCAACAAGGCAATGATTGGCAAGAACACCGAGATGATATTCATTGACAAGGCCACTCCGTCGACCCTCGATGTGGACGACTGGAAGATACTCACTCAGGGGGGGTACACAGCCTACGATGTCAAGTACAAAACAGCCAAGTCATTTTTCAATCTATGTCCCATGTTCATGACTGCACACCAAAAACTTCAATTCAAGGAGGAATATCAGCTGGCTATGGACCGAAGGCTAAGGTATTACCTCTTCAAAAGCCTGTCAAGTCCAAAAAAGAAGGCCGCCTAGTGGCTGCGCAAGCACCCTATAAAATGTGTTGTGTGGGCTGCATCGAAAGCGAGGGTAGATACAGATGAAGAAGAAAGTTCTGATGAAGACGACGAAGACACGGAGATAAACACACCAAACGACGAAGGCGCACTGCTGGAGACGGAGAAAGAGGTTTTAAGAAATGTGCAGTCGACCGACCTCTTAGCTGTTTTACGCGCAAATCCCCGAGACGAAGAGGACACTGCAGGAGACGATAACGGGGACCAAATCGTGGATGCCGATGATGACGATGAAACCACACACGCGTTAAAGAACTCGCTCGCACAAACTTTATCGGGCTCTTTGGATAACCGTCACCTCAGCCTCTTACTGGAAAAGCGTTTACAGCAAAACGAAGAGAGGATGCGGCGGGAGATACAACGGCACGAGAGATTTCAACAGCGTCTCAGATCGAAGGGCGTCTCCGAAGAAAATGTACGTTTACTATCCCACGATCCAAACGATCTTCTTCCCACACCGATAAGAAATGATCTGGCCACTCACGAACAGATGAAAGCCAGAGCGGATCGAAAAGAGAAGAAGAAGAGGGCAAGGGAAGCATTCCAGTCACAATGGTTGAGGAATACAGAGAGGGAGTTAA